ACTGTAGAACTCAAATTCAACTTCATTTCGCTTTTGCATTTCCAGTTCTTTAATTTACATTTACATCCCAACTTGATTCTTAGCGACACTGCGATAAGAAATCTCAGGACCACTCTCATTTGACAGAAGCCAGATCACATTAAGATCCTCGGCGACTCTGGCACAACTCGCACCCATTTTAGCACCAACATTATCCACCCAAACCAAAACGCCATTGGCGGGAGAAAGTTCCCGCTTGAATATTGATGTCCAAAGTCAACAAATATTATGATATCCAACATCTTTGAGACGAACTTAGGTATATTACTTGACGCCACAACACACTCCATTACTTGACCCAGTCCTAAATTTCAATTAATTAATATAACAGATTATCTTTTAAATATATAGATTCCCTCCCAGCCTTCCCTTGCTTCCTTTATACATATACACGTATTATCAAGCTCATTAGCACACCATCAGAAACCTTATTATATAAGGCAGTTCTATAAGCTGAAGCCAAAAGAAAACAAAATGAGATTACTTGGATCACTAATCCTCCTTGTAATCCTTCTAATCCTATGCTTCCTGTTGTTCCCTCAGCCCCTGCAATCACAAGGCAATAATTTTTCTCGTCAGCCTTCAGCCCCTCCAATCTTAACTCCTAATGAGCGTTCCGACTCCGACCCTCAGCAGGTGAATCTTTTGATCTTCAAGTATTTGAATTAGCAAATCATTATTGCTTGTTCAGTCATACATTATATATGGTTCAACATCCTTATTTAAACTTATATCTATGCAGGTGCATATATCGCTGGCTGGCAAGGGCCATATGAGGGTATCGTGGATTACAGAAGACGAGCACGTGCAATCTGTGGTGGAATATGGAACAGAGGCCGGAAAATACAGTGCAAAGGCCGCCGGAGAGCAGACCCATTACCAGTTCTTGTTGTACAGGTCCGGCGCCATACACCACGTCAAAATTGGGCCTCTCCGTCCGAGCACCACTTACTTCTACAGATGCGGAGGATCCGGACCCGAATTTTCCTTCAAGACGCCACCAGCAGAGTTGCCGATTGAATTCGTCGTGGTCGGTAAGTTGCTGTTCCTTCGGCCTCCTCTTTTGGCCTTTATGTTTGTTTTAGTTTCATCGTTTACAAATTTATCGTTGGGAGATATAGATTAGGGCTCCGGCTAAACAATGAAATGACACATGAATATAATATTAATGGCGTCCAGTATTTGTTATGGTTTTACGCGAAACGCCACGCGCGTCAGGAATCTTTTTCTGAGACTTGGGAATAAAAGAATCCATGTTCTTGGCCTTAGTATCGCGGTTTTGATTCATAACTTCCAAAAAGTCAACACTTTTTGTTGGCCAATCATTTGAGGATTGGCAACTGGATGACCAATGGAATTTACACAGACTCAGTTCTCCAACCCCACAAAAAAAAAAAAACAGCTTCCCTGCCATGCATGCGAGCTAGCTTCTAATTCGATTCCCATTGTTGTGTCCTTGTAAAAATACTAGCTTTGCACCTAAATAAAAATAGTTGAAAATTCAATTTAATTTTAAATGTACAACTTTCATTTTACTTTATTTTTTATATTTATTTATTTGAATTTTCTTAAAAGTAGTCCACATGGTGATTGCACATGTTAAAAAGTTTTCATTCTAATATATGTGATTAACAAAGATATTTTAAATAAAATAATATTTATTTACTACTAATAACTAATTTAACTAATATTATTAATATTCGTAAATTATTATTTAGTTCTTATATAAAGGATATAAGGCAGTATAATTTTATTTTAAAATGTCTCGTTCTCCATTTTTTACTTGTTATTCGTTATCGTATCATCCCTTCAACTCAAATTTTACAATAATACTGCTACTGCACTTGTTACAATGAATAACTCTCTATAGAAATTATAACACGTTCGTGTTTAATACATAAATATATGACAGATTATAATATGTGGGAGGTAATTGAAAATCCTTGTCCGACAAGACTAAACTTAAAATAATGAGTTGCAATAAATATATTAATAATTTAAACCACTATAATATTGGGTTGGCATGTGATGATGGGGAGATAATAAAATGTCTGGTATCGTGTCTTGAGGTGAAGTGGTTAATTATTGGTTTACTGAATCGACAAAATAAATCATAAGCGGGTGAGGGAGTGAGGACGCGGTGCCTGGGGCAGGCTAATCTAGAAGTTTTAAGCACTGTTTAGATGTTACGCATGAGTTTTTAAGGAAGCGGGCTAAGATTTATGTAAGTCCAGAAAGCTGCGTTTGCGCTTTGGTTCGAAATTGAGGGCCTGTACCTAACACGATGCTGTGTGTTCTTCCTTTCAGCAAACTAACAAACAAACACGGCCCATAAATTAGAACTGCTCCTATGCTGTTGGTTTCTCTTGGTTGTCATGCATGTAGGTTTTCCCCAGGAAAACCAAGTCTGTGTTAAATTCTGACGCATAAACTTGTGATTATATCTTACACATACCAATAAACATAAATTTGTTTTTGTCGACTTGTTTGAAGCGCATAATAAGTGTGAAACAGTGTAAGTGGGTAAATGATGAGAGGAAATAATGCGCAGGGGACTTGGGACAAACAAAATGGACAAGGTCCACCTTACGACATGTTGAAAGCAAAGAGTACGACGTGTTTTTGTTACCGGGAGACCTGTCGTACGCTGATACCCTGCAATTCCTGTGGGACTCGTTCGGTCGTTTGGTTGAGACGAGCGCCAGCGGAAGGCCCTGGATGGTCACCAACGGCAACCACGAGATCGAGTCCATTCCCATCATCCTCCCTCACCGCTTTGAGGCCTACAACGCCCGCTGGCTCATGCCCCACCGCGAAAGCGACTCTTCCTCCAATCTGTATTATTCTTTTGAGGTTGCCGGCACCCACGTCATCATGTTGGGTTCTTACACGGACTTCGATGCTGGCTCTGATCAGTACAAGTGGCTCCGAACTGATCTGGCACGCATTGATAGGCTCCGCACCCCTTGGGTTGTCGTGCTCCTGCATGCTCCCTGGTATAATACCAACGAGGCTCATCAGGGTGAAGGTGAAAGCATGAGAAAGGCCATGGAAGAGCTGCTTTATAACGCACGTGTCGACTTGGTTTTTGCTGGTCACGTTCATGCCTACGAACGCTTTGTATGCCACTTCTTATTTTCTTTCGGTGCTTATACGTTTCATTTGGCCAGATTCGTTGAATCACAGGCTTGATTAATATTTCTGTTTTTTATTCGGGTCAATTGCAGACTCGAATTTATGACAACAAGGCTGATTCGTGCGGTCCGATGTACGTGACAATTGGGGACGGAGGGAACCGCGAGGGACTTGCTTTAAAGTGAGCTGTCTCCACCATGCGCTGACTTTTGGTTTAGATTATCGTTGGTTGGTATTTTGAGCATAATTTTGGGTATGTGTTTTAGGTTTAAAAATCGTGGGAGCCCCTTGTCAGTGTTCCGAGAGTCGAGTTTTGGTCATGGAAGGTTGAGAATGGTGAATGAAACGCATGCTCACTGGGCATGGCACCGAAACAATGACGCTGATGCGGTGGAGGCTGACCAGGTCTGGATAACTAGCTTGAGCAGCACCAAATCATGCTGGCACGACACGTCATCCGCTGCCCGTGATGAGCTTTGATACGTTGGATATGTGGCTGGGTACTAAAGTATACTACATGTTTGCTTTGAATTTTGTTCGTAATAAATGATGTCATATAAATTTTCTCTCGGATGTGAGTTATCAGTGAACATTGACATTTTGAGTGACGGTTCTAACACCACAAAAAATTGTTAGCATTTGAATGATACTCAGTATTACTCCTCCGGTCTTTATTATAAGACCCAATTTGACTTTTTATTTTGTTCTAATTATAAGACCCAATCCATTTTCTCTCTTACATTTATGCATTTTTTTCCAAGATAATCCTTCTAATAATGATAGTTTTAGCCAATATACTTAATTAGCAAGGATATTTTAGGAATAACAATACTTATTTATTATAAATAACCAACTTAACTTACTTCCTTAATCTTCTCAAATAAGTCAATTGGGTCTTATAATTAGGACCGGAGGAGTATATTATTATTAGTTGCTGACTGGATTTCATGATGAGGGAGATCCGAGCTGGCTAGAGGATCTTAATAAGCTGAGGGGAAATTGGAGAAACTAAAAATAAGTCGTAGTTGCATCTTATGAGAGACTTTCGAGTTGCGTGGTTGCTTGGGGTAGCCTCCAGAATTATCCGAACTCCGTAGCCCAGTTTTATGGGCCTAAAATACAAAGGCCTGCTTTTGTTTCGCATGGAAATGGGGCTGGAGTTGGGCTTGGAGCTGTTCCCCATTCGATGCTGCTTTGATTGGAGATAAATCCAAATCACCTCTTGATTGGAACCCAAAATCGTCACATCTTCCATTTGAGTTTTGACGCATGGTCAGGTGGAATGCCAACGTGCATTTAAAAAGAGATCACATCCATCTCATTCTCAATAATAGCAGTAATTTTCCGTATTTAATTTAATTAATTTAAATTCACATCCTTTCTTCCCATTGTCAGGCTGGGCTGCATCAGCTTTCAGCTTGCTATCGGCGGCTCTTCCATTGCAGCTTACTATATTTCTCCCTAAATGGACTTGTATTCACTTATATGACAGTTTTTTTTTTCCTGATCCTCCACCGATCATTTTTCGCTCAAGCACATAAATGATCTGTCTATCTGTAATTTTGAACCTCTAGTTCTAAACCAATTTTTAATTCAACTTCTTAAATTTATAAAATGTTACTAGTCCTCCGACTGACGCCCTCTTCTCATTTTAGAACATTTGAAAAACAAATGATTAGCCCCAAAAAAAAATCAATCATGGCGGAATACAAAAGAGCCCGGTATCAAGCCGACAAGACGATGGCTTTCACTTCACGTTTATTTATAATGTAAAATCCACAGATACGCTTCCGCCAAATGATTAAGCCCCACATGCCTCCCAATTCAACCACAAATAAGATTCCATTAAAGTGGGTGGACGCCGTCCACCTTCCTGGATACCTTCAAAAAAAAAAGATGATTCTGTTTTAGTTTTTTACAGAGCAAAAGCCGAATTACACGACTTATTCAATCTTCCATTCAATAGTCAATACCATAACAGAAAAGTCAATCTCATCTTAAATTTTTGGTACATGTGATCAACGTCGCACGATGCATCTCAGATTGAAACGATGGACGGCCTCGATCAACTTCATCGAATCTCTTTTTGGTCACCGTGGTCCAACAGGGCAACAAACGGCCCAGATCAAATCTTCTGGAGCTTCTCCGCTATGACCACCGGATTCGCTCGACTTATTTCTTCTCGGCCCACCGCCTTGAAATCGAAGCTACACCCGTGTTTCTCCGGATACCTGTGGACACCACAAAACGTAATCCCGCACTTGCACTTGAACCCGGTAAACCCGACCCTTTTACGACACGTGGCGCATCGGTTTGGTTGCGTCACCGGCCCATCTGGTACGGCGGCCGCCGGCGCCGGGATCGACGCGTCCGCCACAACATCCGGCGCTTTCAACGCCTGCGGAGGAGGGAGGGCCTCCGCGGCCGGCGAAGGCGCAGGGACAGATGAGGAGGAGAGAGCGGTTTCGATGGTTGATTTCGTAGAGGCCTGCTGTTGCTCCTTGAGACAGAAATCTCTGTAGCATTTGGAGCAGAGGTTCATGGTGGCCGGACTTCCGAAGAAGCCGCAGTTGTTGGCGCAGAGCCGGTGGCCTTCGGATGTTTGGCATCGCTGCTCTTCCGCCATGTTGTTTCCCGCGCGCGTCAGGAGATGAGGTTTTGGATTTATTTTCTTGTGGCCAGGAACAAACAAAAGATGAATTTTGCCTGAAATTCTGCGACTCAGAATCCGCGAAGCTTTGACCTGCCGAAATTTATAGAAGAGAATGAAACGTGAGGGTCAAAACTGAAAAATCTGTCCGGATTCGTTAAAAATGAAGGAAAAATTGGAAAGGCAAACTTTCCATAAGCGGTAGAAAGGTTGGAACCAATTGCTGTGCAAAAAAAGAAAAAGAAAACAGATTGAAAACTGTTTCCGTTTCCCAGTATATCAACGTTTTAGCAGAAATCAAACAAACAAGAGTCTATAATAGGCAAAAGCTGCTGAATTAGACAAGAAGAAAGAGGAAACAAAATTGGAGAAGAAGGAAAAGAAAACAGTACCTGATCGATACGAAGAAGTAGTAAGATTGCCCAGAAGGGAGTAAGGTGGAGGGGCGGGATGCAGGAGGAGGAGGAGGAGGAGCAGTAGCAGGAGGAGATAGGAAACACGAAGAAAAGAGAAGATAATGAATCTTAACAAGGAAGATTATGGAAGGGTCAGAAGTGAGATGAGAGAGAAAGAGGAAGAAACGCGAAATTGGGGAAATGAACAAGGATCATTTTCAGGTCACTGTTAAAGGCATAATAATAATAACTGATGGGGATGAAAATTGTGGATCAATAAACGCTTGAAAATTGGTAGAAGCGATAGGGAGGACAGGCTGGCCGTGATTGCGAAGCGCGCATTTAACTCTTATTTAAAGAAAAAATATGTGTTATCCCATGAAATAAATGACACGGGAAATTCGTGCGCCGTTCACATTTTCGTATAATATAAAGAATGATCCTATGGGGGATGAACGTGGAAGTTACGCCCGGTGAAAGATACAACTTTCGATGACCACGAGAAAAAATAAGTACTAGTAGAGATGGAATGCAATACTCTCAGGCCCAAAAAAAAATGATGGAATAGAATACTCAAATGTGTTTGGTAAGCATCTGAAATGATTAGAAGAAATGTGGGGAAAAAAAAAAGGAAGAAGAAGAAGAAATGATTGGAAGATATTTTCAATAATTTTTTTGCCGGCAAGATATTTTTCAATAATTTGCTGCACGATGAAATTAATTAGCGAACGAAAACGAGAAAAACGAAAAAGAAAACCAAAAATATCCGAAAAGAAAGTTAGGCCGATTAAAAGATCAAACTTGTTGCTAAACATGACAGGACGGCATTGTCCTTCATCCTCCTCCTCTTCTTCTGAGTAGCCAGAGGTGACCCAAAATGTCGAGAATGTTGGCGCAAGTTGGTTGAGGCATGAGGCGGTAAAATAATTGAAAATGAAAGATATTGCTATGAAAAGGCAAAAAAAAAAAAAAAAAAAGCCGCTTCTCAGGGCAGGCACGGAAGCTCGTTCAAATTAACGGTCAGAGATTTTTTTTTGGGGGGGGGGGTTTGACATCAGAGGAGAACGGAAGAAAATGGGCTGCGAGTTTTCAATTATGATTAAAATATATTTTTTTGCAAAAGGAAATCATTTTCTTCTCTACATATTTATATCTTATATTATAAAATTATTTTTAAAATTATGATTTATTTTTTATTCAAATATTTTTAAATTATGTGTCACAGTTATCCTCCTCAGAATCCTAATCACTCCCAGAACTTCCCAACTTGCCTGGTGCACGATTCCATCTGTTTTGATGCGTTATTGCAGCCGACGCAGCTTGAAAGGGGAGCTTCTTTCCTCATCGTCCTCACGTCAAGCTTGCTCTGGAAATTTTTAATCTGGTGATGGAGGTCCCAAACTAGCCTGCCAGCAATATTCAGGGCTTTTCATCAAAAAACAAACCAAAAATAAAAAAAAATTCAGGGCATCATCACTTTTCATATTTCATCTTCTATGTTCTGGATATAAAACCGTCATTTATTTTATTTTTTATATTTATAATTTATTCTCAAACCAATTTAACTAGTTTATGAGTTGATACTAGTATACGATTCAATATTAGAGTGTTTTAAGGAAGTCATGTCTTATTTGTTATAATGAGTTTATTTTTTTAATTTAATCAAATTAGTTAACTAAATTTCATATTAAAGACTAAAAGTAGTATATTAAGATTAAATTATTCCTCCTTTTATGTCTAAAATATACATTTTTCTTCTAAAATCAGATTTACAATTCTAGGCCATTTTAGTTAAGACTTAATATGCTGAATAAAATACTTAACCTTATTGTTTACCTCTGTACATTTTCATTAAAAAATTGCTAATAAATAAATAAATAAATGTTACTTACTGTCAGGCTGTCAGCCAAAATAGGTCCGCCCCAATTGGGCCTGAACTTACCGCCTGTGTATTCTCATCCCATCTACCAAGCACTTCAGGTCAACGGTACCGGTAAATAGGAACGAATGGAATATATATAAGGAAAAATTAGAATGAAAAACATAAGGTGAATGTTATTTATGAGGGAGGGCCGTAAAAATTGGAATTATTTATAAGGATTAAATACTAAAATATACATTTTAAAATGCCAAATTACTTTTAACCAAATTTTTTATATTTTCTCCCACATTCTATTTTAAAAGTAGTACAAATTTTTAAATTTTTCTAAAATAAATGGAATAAATATCTATTGGAACAATGACATAAACATTGTTCAATTTTGTCAAAATTACAATCTTATTTTTAAAATCGATACAAACTTTAATTGAAATAAAAATTATATAATTTTAAGAAATCTTGAAATCTCTTATAATTTAATATATAGATGTGTGCGTATATATTAAAGCAGGGTTATGTATATAATTAAATAAAATAAAATAAAATTTTAAACAATTCAGAGAAATTTTTATAATTTCACTAAAAGAAGGAATTTTTATAATTTATTCTTATTTTAGGATAAATTTATTTTTATTTAAACATACCACTTTTTGTGTGTGTGGGAATTGGGTGGCTTTTCGTTTCCAAAAATAAGAAAAGAAAGATGGTTTGGTTTTGTTAAATGACCTTTAGGAGTAAGTCTTAAAATACATAGACACAATTCTAAACTTATAAATAATATGACTCATTTCGCATAATCTCATGAGATTTGCATGAAGTTGTTCATAATTTGTCATTTTATAGACATAATTCAATTTTTTATTAATATATTATGGTGTTTCAATTTTTGACATAATCTATGCAACATTTTATTTTAATTTCTTCATTTGAATATGCATAACTTGTTTTGATAAGATATAAAACGTGTTTAATTTTTTGTTTTGGTTAGTAGAGTTTATTTTATACTAAATCATATAAATAAATAAAAATAACCTGATGGTATAAACAGGTAAACACATGTATGTTGATAATTAAGTGATATATTGATGATATAATTTTGTGAATCTTAATGGAAAATAAAAGAAAAAAAAATCCTCTGGTGGAAGACTGATGGTTTTAATTTTGATAGAAAATAAATCTCATGTTATTTTTAAAACAAGATGTGGGAGAGATTGGGGGAGGGAACGTAGGAGGCTTGGTGAGGAGCAATTTAGTATGTTTAATTTTATATCTGGTCTTCATAAATGATTATAATTTTGATGGTTCTACTCAGTAACTATCACTCTCTACGGATTTTTCTCTCTGTTTTTTCCTATATGCATTTTCGTGGATGAAATTAATGATTGCCTGTTTGTTATTTGTTAATTATTAGTTATTAATTAATCAGTTGATTAATTAACTATATAGTTCAATACAAAGGCCAAAACAGACCAAGATAAATAAATGAATGACTTGATGACCTGCTGGTGCCACACAAACAGTGAAGATCAATACTCCTTCCAATTCTATTTATAAACTTTAGATTTGAAAAGGAATATGATTTATTTTATAAACTTTGATTTAAATTTGTCATAATATTTAATGCATTTTGCTCTTAATTATTTATCTCTTGTTAATTTTCCTACATCTATTTGTTCATTTATTACAGTGGCATGTATGAAAGTAAAAGTTTATTTCTAATCTATTGACTGTTTTTAACAAATTTTAACTTATTAATCCATGAATCATTTACTGATTATAAATACAAAATTAATTAAAAATTTATTCTCATACCAAGTGTTACTCCTCTAATCTTATTTATAGGATAGAAAGAAATTTTTTTGGGATCTTATTTGTAAGTCATTTTATTAAATTTTTATCATGAATGTACTATATCGTCTTTCATTTAATATAACGTAGACAATTATTTTTTTTAAAGGTGTACTCCTCTTATTCTATTTATAAGGCACTTCCAGCATGTTTCATACAGATTAGGAAAAACTTTAAATTTCGTTAACTTTCATTTAAAATTTGATAACTTTTCAACTTTATCCCTATTTAATATATATTATACTTTATCTATACAAAGTCAACACAATAATAAATAAGGGGTAAAATTGTATATATATACACAAAATTTCTCCCAGCCCCCTGTAAATAGGAGTAAAATTTTTTTTCTCTCTTTGTCATATAAATAGGACTAGAAGAGTACATATTTAATAGGGATAAATTTAAAAAAAATCTGAAAAAAATGATTATTGAATTTTAAAATGACAAATCAGGAATTACTACAAAAATGTATTGTTATTTGTTTTTTGGTATAGTCATTTTCTTTACAAGTATAGTAATTAATACTAATCTGAAATTTTGAAATTCAATAGTCATTTTTTTAGGATTTATTCTCAAATTAAAAATTTGTTTTATTTTAATAAAAAAAATATAATTTAAGGGTTTTTTTTTGTCTTATATGAACCATTTCAGAACTATCTTATAAATAAGACCAAGAGTACATCTTAATATATTTGTCTCTTAAATTTATAATTTCTAATCTAAATTATTGTTATTGATTGCACCTAGAGTATTAAAAAGAGTTTTCATTAACCAGACTAATTTTAATATCGATTATTAAAAAATTTATTTAAAAATTAATCTAATTCATTTTTAATATATATAAGTTATTTTTTTACCTCTTATTTTCAGAACCCGGGTGTTTTTTTGGGAATTACAGGCCAGCATAAAATAAACATTCCCAACGTTAACGGCCCTGGTTCGTGGTCGGCGCAAATCCTCCATTGAAGTATTCAACCGTACGTGGGACTTGAAAGGAGCAGCGCGCAATCTTCATCTAAGAAGCCCCATGGAGCCGCAAGCTCCCGCCACCGGTGCCTCCGCTTCTTCCCAGCCTTCTGAGCCCTCACAGTCTCACCCATCGCAGCCTCCCGCGACTTCTCTCCCTCCCAATTCCTCATCAGCCCCTTCACTCTCTGCTCCGCTGCATTCTTCCCCAAACCCTAATCCTGTCCCGAACCAACCCCCTAACACAACCTCCAAAGCGCCTTCTCCTTCCCCTCTTCCGTCTACATCGGCACCCCCACAATCTCGCCCTCCCACCGCATTCAACAGAAATTTACCGCAGCAACCACAGCAGCAGCATTATCCGCACTTCTCTTCGACTCTCTCTTCACTTCCTCCTGCATCTTCTGCTCCGGTTGGTTCTGGGTCTTCTTATTCGTCTGCTGGTTCACCGTCGATTTCCGGGCCTTCTGCACCAAGGGGCGGCATGGCGATCGGTGTTCCCGCCCACCACCAGAATCCGTCTCCTCCGTTTTCATCCTCTTTCGGGCAGCATTTTGGAGGGTTGGGACGAACTGGAGTCAACATCACTGACTCGACCCCTAATTCTACCGCTGCTCCGGTAGGTCGTGTGTATCCGGGAATTATACAATCTTCTTCGTTGGCTGCGAACGAAGAGATGCGATATCTTTTATTACTTATTGTTTAAGTATCTAAGAATTAAAAATATAAATAAACTATCTTTGAATATACTAATACACTTGTCTTCTTTTGACCCGCTGGTGACCATTTCTTAAGAGCTGGGAACATTTGTAGCTTTTTAAGCTTTGATTCGATGTCGCTGTTTAGGTCAGAGCGCCCACGCAAGGAATGGGCATGCTAGGATCTCTCGGTTCAAGTTCTCAAATGCGACCAGGTGGAATGCCTACACATCAACACCGACCCATCCAATCATCTCTTAGAGCACCATCTGCCCAAAGTAATCAGTCCACTGGTTCACAAGTTAGTATATGGGTTTACTTTGTTTCTCCATGTCTGCACTGGCTGTGAAGATGAAATTTTTGGTGAAGAGAACTAATGTTGAGCTGTATTATTCCGTTTATTGATAATTTGACGCGCATACCTCAAGGTAAACATTAATCAGGCATAAATTTGGGTAAAAGACACTAAACAGATTGCCAAGTCTTATTTAACTGTTCACGTGTGACCTAGTGTTTTTGTGAACCTATCAAAATGGTGGAAGACTTGCTATCTTTGAGTGCAATTAAATTATGCTGTTGTTGGCATTGCAACTTGGGTCTATGCATTTTCTAGTTAATTTGTAATTAGGTATAGATGTGTCGAGGTGTTATCATTGGCTTTTTAGACATTTGAAGGAAAAACGTGCTGTTGATTCACCTACTCCTATATTTTCTGTAGAGTTTCCAAGGTCCTGGACTCATGAGAGCCTCATCGGTGGGATCACCTGCTTCACCATCTGTAAGTGCATCACAAGGCATGCAGTCACTTAATCAGCCTTGGCTGTCTTCTGGAACACCAGGGAAGCCTCCTCTACCATCTGCTTCTTATAGGCAACACCCACCATCCCTGCAGCAAAGGGCACACATACCGGCCCAGCAGCACTCAACACCAACAGCATCACAGCAACAGCAACACCAACCTTTGGCATCAAACCAGTTGCAGGATCATTTGGGGCAGCAAGTTCCATCTTCAAGGGCGCTTCATATGTCTCACCAGCAGCAGAATACAAAAGTACAAGGACCTGGCAATCAAAAGCCTACTACTCTTGCGTCATCACAACCCAGTGCAGTTCAAGCAGGGATTCAGAATCGAACATCTAATGTAGATGCTGATGAATCATGTAATAGAATTCTGAGCAAAAGAACTATTCATGAGCTAGTCAGTCAGGTAAGTCACACTGATCTCTTAAGTTGCTTCATAAATGACATTGCTGAAATTCAAAACGAAATCTCTTTTAGACTAAGATGTTGTCCGTACATTTAAAATTTCGTGAGAAATGTGTTAAAGTGTCCTCATCAAACAGCATTATTTAATTGGAGTACATAAAGCCACTTTATTTCATGGTTACAGACTTCTGGCTGTTCTCATTGAGTTTGAACGGATCGGTAGTAAATATTCTAACCTCTGTGCGAATCATATTATTATCTCTGGTTTGTCCAGGTTAACTATCTCTTGAATTACTTAAAGGTGTATCCTATTGATTCTTACTAGTTAAGAGCGTGTTGAATGCTTAGATATGCACAATTTTTCTAATACAGGATACCAGGATGTAGAGGAGTTAATAAATTTATCAGTCTGTGGTTACCTGAATTCCCACATCCGATGTTGTTATTGGAACTGTGTTGTTCATGAGTTGATTAGATTGTCAAGGATGGTTTTTCAGATTGCCTATATGTATCAGGGGTAGCTGGAATTTGGGCTGGAATCACTAGAATTGTTCAACTTCATACCTGGGAAAGTGTAAAACTCTCACCCATTCTTTAACATAATAGAGAAAAGTCACAATTCACAAATATACAGTGTACTAGTCGTAGCTATCCCTCATTTACTCGCCCTAATTGCAATCACATTAATTAATTAATTAATCAGCACATATGTATATAATTTAATATATTTTACTTAATTTATTCGGAGTAGTAGTATGTTATAAGCCAACTCCTTTTGAACTCTATTTTTGACAAAGTTTTACTCTACCCTGTAAATTTCAGATCTTTAAATTTAATTATCGAGCTTTTTCTCTATATGCCACAATCCAGAAAACTCTTGAGAACTGAATCTTATTTCATTGATCTCTTCTAGGTACAATTCATTGTTGATTATCTGAGTACAAATCATCTATAAAATATAACTCTTGAATTCAGTCCAACATATATTCGTACTGACGTGCATGTCCCCCCGCCCCCCTCTCTGTGAAACGTATCTTATTTTATGGAAGCACAAGTATTTAGTTACACTAGAATCGTTAAGCTGTTAAAAATTCCTTTTTCTAGCTTTGCTTGGTTAAGGATCCATGAAAGAATCAGTCTTGGACAAAACGTGGCTCTGCATTCACTTTAACATTCTGAAATAGTCACTATTTTTTTATGATCTTGGGATCCCTTATGATTATCAAATGTACTTATGTTCATGGATTTTGAAGTTCAATATATAATCTGACGGGATTTGCTCCTCAAAACGCTTTCTGATTGATATATTCGTTTGATGAATTAACTACTTTATTGGCAGGTTGATCCATCAGAGAAGCTGGATCCTGAAGTCGCAGACATTCTTGTGGATATAGCAGAAAATTTTTTAGAATCTGTAAGCTTTTGGATTTAGTTCGTGTTGGTTTAAATTTTTGTATTTAGCCGAAACTTTTTAAATCCCCCTCTCTACTACCATGCCAATATAAGAGATTGAAATAATCGTTCTGTTCCTCCCACGTATTGTGTGAAATATGCTTTATGTAGTTTTCTATTTGGGTGCTTTCTCTCTTGTTTAGGCTTAGTAGGGTGGCTTTTTCCTTTACATGATGATAATTTCAGCTGGTAGGTTTTCTTCAATAAAACTCTTGTACAGTAATAGGGGTACATGACGAAGTACCCTCTTCTCTAATGCAACTGAATCAAGAGCAGTTTGCATCAACTTTAAAATAAGCATTGTTATTTAGTGTGAGTGTGTGCTTTAAAAAAAGCATTGTTATTTAGTGTGAGTGTGTGCGCGCGCGCGCGCGTTTTCCCTATTGATACTGAGGCTCCTTTGAGTTCCCATGTTGGTGGATATGGATAAAGCATATATTTCATTCTTTTGCTGCCTTAATGTATATGTTGAAGTGGCGCAAGAAGTGGGTGAGAGAAGAGCAATGTGTAATGCTAAACCAAAACCAAGTGTTCTAGCAATTATGAAGTTGAGGGTTCAGAATCAAATGAGGCCAACTTCCAGAGTATATGAAGAGATATAGAAGGAAGGAGGACACTTGGATCCAGATCTGTATTGAAATTCCATTTCAGTTTTACGTTACCCCTAAGCCAAATACACAATCAGTAATGGCTTGAACCGAGATTTGAAACAAAATTCGACTTCAGTTTTGCATTGCTCCTAAAACAATGACACAATCAAATACAGGCTTGAACCCAAATCAATTAACCAGCGAAGGATACATGATGTATTATGGAAGAAATGTGGTTTCCCCCCCCTCCAACTCACCTAGCAACTTTTTCTTGTGCGGTCAACTCACGTGACTAGGCTGCCCTGCATACAGTTAACCCTCCAGATCATCAAATCTGTTTATACCATATAGATATGCCAACATCAGTGGGGTTAGGATGCAAAAGTTTGAGGTTTTGAGGACTATGTAACCATTGAAAAATACAAGGATGGGCTTTTACAACCTTTGGACCTGTTTGTAATCGAGGTCAACTATAGGAACCTAGAAATGAATTTTCCCATTAAAAAGTACAATGATTTTCTTGGTAATATTAAAAATCTTAATGATATGATTGTGTTGTTATGTTGGTTATTTTCTGGCAGATAAAGAAGTCGATGGTAGCAACAGAGGCCGCACACCATAAGGGCTCTGCTGGCCAGGCAACTGGTGGTGTTAAGGGGACTCAAGGAAAGACACCTGGAAATGTCTTTAGCTCGTCTGCTTCTAAGAATTCATGAGGTGCCTGAGGTATCGGTGCTTTGTGCCGTAAGATTCTATCAGAGAGGTACCTCTGTGTGCCATGCATAAATGGCATCTATACCCTTCTGGCTATATGAAGTTCCGTGCAGATTCAGGAGTCCACTATTGTGAAGTTTAGCTTTGAAATTGCGCCATGCTGTGGAGTATAAATGCTGTGGAATGCAATGATTGCTACATTTAATGCTGTATAATGCAATGACTGCTACATGTCTTTGATACCAGGTGATTAAAATTATACAAGTGTAATACACTTATAGTGAAAAGTCAATTATTACTGTCATGTTACATGATTCTTCCACTATCAGACGCTCTGGTCAAGTTAGTTGGAAATGCTGGGACTTTCCTCTAATCTCAAAACTTCTCCAACATAAGTTGCTTGGAGGGTCATGAGAGTGCAAAATGTGTATTAGTTAGTTTGTTAGTTATTTGTAAAAAATAGGTTTTATCTTTCGTAGAGTGTCTTTTTTATCATGTGTATTAGTCAGAACTACTATTTAATAAAATTTTTAACATGTGTAATTATTATAAAGATTATTTTAGAAAAAATGGATAGATATGAGAAACAAACTAGATTGGGATTTTGTATTTAGAACTAAATTTAATGTCAAACTAACTCTTATGTTAAAGATTGGAGGTAGTAATTTTTAAGCATCTTTTAATATATTGTTCCCAATCTTGTGTAACCTTCACGCTGGGTTAGTTTGTTTCCAACTTGCAACTTTGATTTGCAAAATATTGTGCTATTAGATGTTTTTAGGAGATCTTGCAGGATAAGTTTTAGAGTAAGGGGGGCATAAGAAGAGTTTGGATGCACGGGGTGGTAGAACAAATGAGATGATCTTATTATTATCATGATCATCATCATCGTTGTTTAGAAAAACGCTCAAACGAGTCCTGTGGAAAGAAAATCACGACCTCCCCATACTTGGAAGGCATCTTTGCAATTAGTGTAATGGGCCAAACACAATGAGATGGCCTTGTGAAATTGCATGATTGCTGTCTGCCTGGCTCTAGTTGATATAGTCCGTGCCCGGGGTCAACAACTCATATGACATCAACCTCGGTGGTCATGTTGACCTGTGGAGCTGCCATTTCCTCTGGCACCCGTTGTCCCAGCCTCGTGGGGAAAAACGAGTCGGGGTAATTATTGGGTCTTGTTAGTGTAAGTGATAAAATTTGCTTAATGCATGTCTGTTTGTTTATTATTGGTTTTTCTGGGTTTTCCAGATTTTAAAAAGTCGATGTGTTTTGTCAGTCATACTTCTTGTGGTACAGAACCTCCTTCCTACGGTATTAACTCCAATTTAGGCCCCGTGATATATTCAATTTTGAATATCTTTGTTATATTTTTTCTTGAATTAAAAAATTCTATCATTTATTAGCTTGAATTATACGGAACTCAGAAACTTCTACGCTTGCGATAGTATTGGATATCTTAATGATGAAGATATATCGAGTTAGGAGAATCCTAACCTCATTCGTGCGACGTTTTAGGTTTCTATAGTGCACATAAATTTTTAATATTAAGAAATAAGTAGTTACGTTATATATATATATACTTGAATTATTTTTATTTTTTTGAATAATACGTTTTTTTTAATATTTTTATCGCAGGAATATTTTTTCATTAGGTTGGGGAAAATCAATAGGTGGTTGTATTTTAAAGGAGGCGCAATGCATCAAGCCAATGGGGCTTCATGAAAAGCCACGGGCGGCATTGTCATGTCTTGCCGGTGTGCATTACCAATGTGATGTGTTAAAATTGATGACAGATTTCGGAATATTTTGCAGACCCCAATTGAAATCAATAATTTGCTGTCGCTTGCCCCTTTGATCTTTGCTTCCTTCCTTTCTGCTCTCATTCTGTGGCGATAACATGAGACTAGGTGCATGTTTGGAGCCACGTTTAAGTGGCTTTTAAGTAGCTTTTGGCTTTTAATATGTTTAAGTGAGTTTGGAAGAGGTTAAAAAATTAAGAGCTTATGCCAAAATCACATACTAAGCCAAAAGTTAAAAATTGCAGCTTATAGAATTGGAAAAGTAGAGAGAGAAAGACAAAATGTGAGTCCCATTTTTTTTATTCAAACAAACTTATTTTTACTCAATCATAATCTAAACAATTTTTTTACCAATCTTACTTTTACAAACTACTCCTCCGGTCCTAATTATAAGACCCAATTGACTTATTTGAGGAGATTAAGGAAGTAAGTTAAGTTGGTTATTTATAATAAATAAGTGTTGTTATTCCTAAAATATCCTTGCTAATTAAGTATATTAGCTAAAACTATCATTATTAGAAGGATTATCTTGGAAAAAATGCATAAATATAAAAGAGAAAATGAATTGAGTCTTATAATTAGGACCAAATAAAAAGTCAAATTGGGTCTTATAATAAGGACCGGAGGAGTAATTTTTTTAAACTCCAAGCCAAACACAATTCATCTTATCCAATTTAACTTTTACTCTCAATTTTATTTTTTTTTAAAAGTCAGATTAGAAATAAGCTGTTTTTTTTTTATCACCAATCCAAATGGAGCCTAGGCATGCAACTTTCACGAGCAGGTCTTGCGCCACGTAGGCATTTCCCATTTGTTTCTCAATTAGAACCTGTCTGGACTTTGATTTGCAAAATATTGTGCTATTAGATGTTTTTAGGAGATCTTGCAGGATAAGTTTTAGAGTAAGGGGGGCATAAGAAGAGTTTGGATGCACGGGGTGGTAGAACAAATGAGATGATCTTATTATTATCATGATCATCATCATCGTGTTTTAGAAAAACGCTCAAACGAGTCCTGTGGAAAGAAAATCACGACCTCCCCATACTTGGAAGGCATCTTTGCAATTAGTGTAATGGGCCAAACACAATGAGATGGCCTTGTGAAATTGCATGATTGCTGTCTGCCTGGCTCTAGTTGATATAGTCCGTGCCCGGGTCAACAACTCATATGACATCAACCTCGGTGGTCATGTTGACCTGTGGAGCTGCCATTTCCTCTGGCACCCGTTGTCCCAGCCTCGTGGGGAAAAACGAGTCGGGTAATTATTGAGGTCTTGTTAGTGTAAGTGATAAAATTTGCTTAATGCATGTCTGTTTGTTTATTATTGGTTTTTCTGGGTTTTCCAGATTTTAAAAAGTCGATGTGTTTTGTGTCAGTCATACTTCTTGTGGTACACAGAACCTCCTTCCTACGGTATTAACTCCAATTTAGGCCCCGTGATATATTCAATTTTGAATATCTTTGTTATATTTTTTCTTGAATTAAAAAATTCTATCATTTATTAGCTTGAATTATACGGAACTCAGAAACTTCTACGCTTGCGATAGTATTGGATATCTTAATGATGAAGATATATCGAGTTAGGAGAATCCTAACCTCATTCGTGCGACGTTTTAGGTTTCTATAGTGCACAAAATTTTTAATATTAAGAAATAAGTAGTTACGTTATATATATATATACTTGAATTATTTTTATTTTTTTGAATAATACGTTTTTTTAATATTTTTATCGCAGGAATATTTTTTCATTAGGTTGGGGAAAATCAATAGGTGGTTGTATTTAAAGGAGGCGCAATGCATCAAGCCAATGGGGCTTCATGAAAGCCACGGGCGGCATTGTCATGTCTTGCCGGTGTGCATTACCAATGTGATGTGTTAAAATTGATGAC